TGATCAGTTGTTGGAGCAAATATCTCAACAAAATGGACAAGATTTTTCAAGATATAATGTGATCATAAGAGAAAGTATGTACAAGAAGTTTATAACAGATGTAATAGAAGTTACACTTCAGATATAACATGAGAAAATTATTCTTTGAGCAAAGGATATATCTGCAGTGCATTCCTGAGGGTCAGTTAATTATTTAACAATGTTAATGGTATGCTCACACTGTCATTTATTACTCTGATATCAATCAAAAAAGAAACAATTGTATAAGGGTCTGTTGGCATCACAAAGAGAGACAATGAAATCTAAATCTAACTCATCTATAAAGAATTTGTTGAGCTCTTGGTTTAAAGTTGTGATAGATTAATTTGAATATAAGAAGCAACAATATTTATTAGTTTTAGATTAGATTTAAATTCATTAAGCAGAAATGTGTGAGATATACTGAATATTAAATTAATTATTTACAGAATAAAACTAGTTTTAATTAATTAATAGATCTCTTATTGATTGCCAAAAGACAAGCAATTTGAATCTTTTATCAATTTAAGCACAAACTTGTAAAACTGAAAGAAGTATTTTTAAGCCATCAAGTCCAGCTCCCTGCTCAGTAAAGAAATCCAAATTCAAGTATCCCAACAGCTGGCTTCTTCTTGAACACACCTAGTGAACAGGAACACAATTTTCAATATCACTAGTACCAATTTTGATAGTTTCACTACCTGAAGCAAGAATTGTGAGGCCACAAAATATGTATACAAAGTAATAGAAAATGAATCTACAATGCCCTGGGACTTTAGAATTCAAACAGACAAGCACCTGCCTCATAGCATCCCAAATTTAACAATCCAGACAAAAAAGTCTGGATAGCGAACACTACAATATCTGGAGACAGCAGAAGAAAATAGAAAGAACTGGAGAAAATAGTAAGATATAAAGACTTGCAAACAGAGGTAGAACAACTGTGGCAAAAGAAAGCAAAGATAGTATTAACAGTAATAGCCACCTTGGGTGCAATCCCAAAAAATCTGAAGCAACACTTGAACACTATCAGCATCAATAAAATCACCATCAAGCAAATACAAAAGGCAGTTTTACTTGGAACACCTTATATCCTGCACAATATCTTTAATATCTTTAATATTATTAAACAACAACACCTGCCTATTCCAGGTCCTTAGGAAGGACTCAATGGATCAAAATGCCAATTCCAGTGTAAACATCTGGCTGACTGCCTGACCAGCCGTAGTGTATTAAATTTATATGCTGCTCAATTCCCAGTGAGCCATCTAGGTTTCTGTCATCTGCAAACTTAATACATTATTTTCTCAACCTCTTCACCCATCATTATTAAATTTATAGAAGAGTAGAAAACTCAGGTTTGAATGTTATGGCTTTCAACTCAATGCCTCCCTCCAATTTGATGAGAACCACATTTGAAACAACAACAATGCCTCTACTTCATTGTGATGCTGTTCAGCCCATATTTAACAGGCTTGCTAATTAGCAGATCATGAGATACTTTGTCAAATGTTTTGCTGGTCAGGATACATTATGTTGACAGCCTCCCCACAATCCATTATGGAAATTATCCTCTCAAAAAATTACCCTGACGAGACTTGTTTTTCATAAAACTATGCTGACTTTGCCACCTGGTAATTGAAAACATTGTCTTCAAGATGTTTATGAACTTTAAGAGTTTCTCTGGAAGCTTCTCAGATACCAGTGCCTAACTCACTGGGCTCTAATTCCTTGCATCCTCTTTTTTCCTCTTTTTTTTTTTGAAGATCGGAATATAGAAGAACAAGCTGTTTGGAAAAACTGCAGCCTTCTTCCCCTCCTACAGGTTCTCCATTTATTTCAGTTCATTTAGTGACCATTCAAAGTTACACTGGTACTGAAAAATGTGACTTATGACAATTTTTTACAATCACGACCCTTGCAGCATCCCCATGACCATCTGATCAAAATTCATATGCTTGGCGGTTTATGACGGTTGCTGTGTCCCAAGGTCACATGATCATCTTTTGCGACTTTCTCACAAGCAAAATCATTTGAGAAGCTGGATTCCTTTAATAACTTTATTACTAACTTATTAACTGCAGTGATTCACTTAACAACTGTGGCAAGAAAAGTTGTAAAATGCAGCAAAACTCACTTAACAAATGTCTCACTTAAGAACATAAATTTTGGGCTCAGTTGTGGTCGTAAGTGAAGGACTACCTGTATTTGAACTTTCTCCCCAGAATTAGCAGGGCAGAATTGCCAATAAGGCTGCAATTTTGAAACAGGCATAAGAGGACAATAGAGACGACATTGTTCTTAGAGCCACCAGCAAACCGAGTAAAGCAGCCAAATAAGATAAGGTATATTTCCTTCAATTGAGTAAATGGTCCAAAGGAAAAGCGGTATAGAGGGACAGCAAGGAAAAGTGCAAATATAAAAAGCTCAGTGTGGAAAGTTGTAAGTACTGTACATACTGGAGAGTAACAAAAAGAAGAAATTCCAGGGAGAGGAATTAAGACAATACAATGTTCACATAAAGAAAATATTGCTAACTAATATTACTATGGAGTATGGCATTGTAATCATAATAATGATTGAATAGTAATACAGTAGAATACAGTAATTGTTGTAATAATAATGGCTAGCAGAATGGAATGTAATTGAATAAATGGAAATGAAAATGATTAAACTTGTATTGCAGATGCTAAAGAAGCAAAGTTTTGTTTAAAACGAATGACTGCCGGGTTAGCATATCTAGAATAAAGTAACTTTCTGCAAAGTTGTTTTTCAGTGGAACACTTTCTACAGGATTGCCATCGCATGCCGGGTTTAAATGAATAAGGAAAAACAAAGTGGCATGAAAGAGGAAAATGTATTATGACAATGCATAAAAGTCTCACCACAATTGAACGTCAATGACATTGTATAAAAGCAAATACTGGAATAACTGAAACAGTAGCAACTGGGCAGGTTGTTCCACAT